CCAGTGGGCCAAGCTCAGAGGCAGGCCCCAGCGCTCCATGGCACTGAACTTGAGTGGTGCAGGTTTGGGCAGGGAGTGGAGCTAGAAACTCTGGATCCCCTCACTCTGCAAACTCCTCCCATATAAAACACAGGATGCCAAGTTAAGTTTGAATTCCAACTAGCAAAAAAATTCAACTTGTTTGCTAATTCCAGCCACCTTATCATGGACCTCAGTCTCTACATAGGCAAAATGCAGATAATAATGGTACCTACCTCTTAGGCTTGCTTAAAACTTGGTGCATATGTGTATGCATTTTATATAGCAATCCTTGTTAGGTAACCTGTCCAAAGTCATGCTCAAGTATTAGGGCCAGTGTTCTGATTCCAAAGCCCCAGCCTCCGTATTGCCTCAGTCACGATGACGTCAATAGCAAAAACCTCTAATGAGTAAAGTAGCCAATAATGTAAACATTATGTTAAAAATATAAATATCAACACAGTTGCCATATGCTAATTTTTATTAGTAAATACCAGGAAGCTCACTATCTACATCAGTCCTTATATGTATATTTAGGGCTGAAAATAAAATTCAGAGAGGTATAAATTTCTCATAATTTTCCTAGTAAGTCTATTTTAAGTTAATTCAGACATATTACAGAAGATTTGAACTCTGAAATCTATTGCTCTTTCAAAGTGGACTTTAGAGAAATTAACAAGGTATGAAAATGGAACTTAAGTATTTAATTTCCCCCACCCCTCATTGTTCAATACCTTCCTATTGCTTCACAGCGACATCCAAATGTCTCAGCACAGCATGCAAGGCTCTCCAGATCCGGCTGACACTCGAATTTGCAGCCTCAGCTCCTATCGATTGTCAGTCGTGAGCTCCATCCTAGAGCCCTCGTCATTCCTCAACTTTGATGTTCTTTCTGCTCCAGTATCTTTCTTTGGCTTGTAGTCCTTTCATCCTGGAAAGCATTTTCCCTATCTCAACCATGGGAAATCTTTATCTCCAGTTCAAACACCCGGTTCTTTTATGACACAGCCTTTCTCTCCTCAGCTAACTGGCCCTCTGGCTGACTTTTCTATTGTACCACCTGGCACAGAACTTGCTTCCCAATTGTATTTCACTTGTCTCCTTGAGTAAAATTTCGTTTCTCACGGTCAGGGCTTCTTTGTCTTATTCTTTACCGTGTATGACTTCATACCTAAAACAGAACTTTTCCCAAAGTAATTCCTTAAAAAATTATCTGTTGAACACAATTCAGTCCAATAGCACATAGGAATAGTTCTCGTAAACTTATAGGGCCACTAGTTGAAATTTGGTGAATCCACCAAATAAGGCTAAGTTGCTCTGGGCATACTCACAATGACTAGCAGTTATGTTTTTGGCATTTAAAACAATGTTTTCCTTGTTGTTAAAAAATAATATGTATTCCTTTTAGAAAACTTGTAAAATAAAGACACTCAACAAAGGGGAAAAATCATCAGTAAACTACTTTGCAAGGGCAGCTGCTGCTTCTTTAAAAAAAAAAAAAGAAAGAAAGAATGTGTGTGTGTGTGTGTTTCTCAGAAATTCTCAACAGAGACAAGATGGAAAGGTAGATAAGGACCGAAGGGTGGACACAACTGGGTTTGAACCCCCACACCCAGTACTTCATGATGGTGTGACCCTACGTTAGCCACTTCATCCCTCTGAGGTACAGTTTCTCATCTGAAAAATAGGAATACTCATACTGTTTTTTATTCCTCTAGGAGTTTTTGGAGATCAAATTATAAAACATTTGACAGTATTTTGTACATTAGCAAATACTGTCTACTGTTTTTTATTAGAACGTTAAATTGTACCAAAGATGAACCTATGGATACATGGAGTGATCACATTGAATCCTAAGTAGGAGTTCAAACTTGATTTGTGCCTAGCTCTATTCCCTAAGTTACAGATAACCTTCACTTCACTCAAGGGAAAGGAACTAACTTCTGCTGAGTACCTACTACATGCCAGGTCCTGTGCTATTTGCCTTACACGTGTCTCAACCCCAGCACCATATAACACCCTTGTACATAAGAGAAAGCCTGAAATTCATGAGCAAAGCCACTGGTATTGCAAGATTAAAAACAAGGTGGGTCTCAATTCAAATGCCATGTTCTATCTTCACTATAGTGAGAGAGACCTTTAGGGCAAAGTGTTTTTATGGAATTTCTTATTATGGAACTGTCCAACGATTGAAGGGCCGTATTCGATTGGATACATGGATTATTTTGATACAGATTCTCTTAGGAAAGGTAAAAGAAGTTGTGATTATTTCATCCTGAGGAAAGAGTGGACTAATTTAGAAGCCATTTTCAAGGTCCTGAAAGGGAACAAATGGTGAATATTGACCAAATACTTTTCGCTTATAATTTACCTAAACCCATCTTCAAGTATAATTTAGAAGTTTTCATAGCATGGCTTCTTTAGACCTGAAAAGAACTGCTGAGAGAAGCTGTGGAATGTCTTTCTTGGTAGAATATTTGTGTTGAACAAGGTGGATTTATCTTTTTAGGACCTATTAATAGTTCTGCTTGGAGGTAGAAAACTAAACTCATCAAAGATGAGTTTCAAGTAAACATGAAGGCAAGAGACACCATTACAAATTCTATTGAAGCTGCGATTAAAATGAAATATAGCAGCACAGAAGACCTAAAATGATATTACAGTACAGAGACACATGAGGGTGCTCTAACCAGCTGCTATAATAAATGAATTAAATTGCTCAAATATTAGGGAGAAATTAGGGCCTGTTGTAAATGGCAGTGTTGAATTCCGATTTGCAGCGCTGGCTAAACAGAACAATCTTGAAATAGATGGTTTCTCTTTTAAAATGTATTGGGCCCCTGTCCCCATTTTAAAAAGTAGATGTTCATATTGGACAATTTGGGAAATACTGAAAAGCACAAGAAGAAATAAAAATAAACTGATGTTGCTGTCAGCCCTGGGAGGCTGGAGTTTTCTAGAGCCAGGCCAGTTGGAGGCTTAGCTCAGGAGCCCTGCCTTCAAACGCAAGCCCAGCCTGTTCTCATTTTGATTCCACCGACCTTCTGCTGGTACGAAGGGGGAGTAGAGACTGGGGGTCTAACGACCGCAAGAAGAGAATTAGAGACGCATGTTTATCTCAATACATTTACTCTCATTAAAGTTCATATTCACTGACATCATGCATCTCCTTGAAAAAGTCTGCCCACCCACCATTAATTAAAGCCACATTTTAAAAAGTCAGTGTGTGCACTTTTATTCCAATCAAAAGTAGCCTCCTAAGTTTTGCAGAGTAGGCAGGAGAATATCTGAGGCCTGACAGCTGTTCACCTCTACCCAGTGAGGAATCATGTGACTTACATGAAAAGTCATGTTTATTCAGAACCTACAATATAATAATTAAGATCTATTGTCTTGAAGAGTTGAAGCATTTAATATCTAATGACCTATTAAGCAAAATTAACATTTATTTTGATGAGGCGACATTCTTTTGGATACAATGTACGACCATACGCCTTTATCTTTACAAATAATCAGAGATCTAACTATATATCCAGCTTGAATAATTAAGCAGCACACTCCTATCAAAGACACCACACTTTATAACTTATACATGCGGTATCAATGTCAAAACAAAGGTCAATGTAAATCTTTCTTTATCCAAACCATTGCACAAGCAGTAATTACCAATAGTTGTCGGATTGCACAACCATAGTCTATATTCTTGGCAGTAGTCACTATAAGTTCATAGACTCATGAAAATAAGGGATGTTGATTTTTAAAGTTCAAGGAAGGTACTATTTGTAAACAGTTCAGGTCACACTCATCTTATTCCATGTGCTAAGCAAGAGTTCTTTCCTTCCAACTTCCTTTAAATGAGATTTGTTCTCTCCATGAGCCTAGTAAAAGAGTTTTCATCCAAACAGATCTGCATTCTTTTCTATTCTTTCTCCTATTAAAGCCCCCCTGGGGACCTTTCAATTTTATGCTGATCTTTCTTTCTATATTAATATCAAGCACATTTTTATTTTGTGTTGATAAAAGACAAATTATGGTTATCTCTTCTCATTGGCAATTAGATTATTCTAAAATGGTTCTGACCTTAAGTATTTGAGAAGCCCAGCCAGTTTACTCTTTTTACACAAAGGCATAATGTGCAGCATTCAGATTCTCTAGTTATTCTGGTCATGCCACCGTGCAGAAACACATGGCTCATCAATGGATCTGAACACTGGCATTGAGATGGTTTAATCCTAGGCCAAAGCACACCTGGGCTGGGAGTTGAAACCTGAGTTCTAATCCTGACTTTTCTACTCACTTTCCATGTGATCTTGAGCACCTGAGAGCCTATTTCCTTATCTAACAAATGGGGGTTAGGGAGTGAATACAGACCAGATACCCACAGACCAGGAGGTTAGTCAGGACTAGAGGTTAAGGCGCCGGAGTACCCTTTGGGGCCATGTCTTCCCCTGGTCCACTTACTCATCTAGTACCAGAAACCCCAAGGTGGGGCTTTTTTGAGTGAGAGCTGAGTCTGGTTCTAAAAAGAGCATCCCTGAATCTAGAAGAAGTCAATAAGCCATGCCTGGTGAGTTGCTTTCACAAGTTTGAGTGAAGATGTTCTGGGTCTTGATATCCCTTAGATACAAGAATTCAATGTCCCATTGGTATGTGGGATGAAGCGCTATCCTCACCCACAGATTATATCTTCCGTCTAGATGATACAGTACCCAGAGGGACCATAAAACACTTGACTCTACACAATGCCAAAAGCAATGGATGGACTCCTTCAGTTCAGCTGTGGGAAGGAAGGTGGAGTGTGGGTGGGGATATTTCAACCCAGTTGGCGATATTCTTTAGAACAAACAGCTCTGGGCTGGGGGACAGTGGGAAGTTGTGACTATATAGCATTCTATCAACTCTAGGGAAGTTTAAGATAAGCTTGGCTTAAGTGATTTATAAAGCCATGCAGTCTAAAAAATGAGCACCATTGCAGTCCATACCTTCCTGCCGGCTCTGTTGTTGTGAAGATTCATCAGGGCTCTGGCATCCTTTCCTTTCCTTTCCTTGGCATCCACAAACGCTCGGGCAAATTTGATCCCATAGTCAATGTTATCACTGCAGCCACCCCAATCGAAAGTGCCCTTGCTGTCCTTGGCGGTCCCCTTCTTCTTTGGATCACAGGAACAGGATCTTAATTCTCCTTGGCTACAGGCCCTGGTGATGGCAAATACAACTCCAGCTGAGGAGATGGCGTAAACAAAGGCAGATTCCCGACTACCTGAAACAAAAATGCTTTTCTTAAAAGTGGTCTGGAATTGCTAGTTCTGCACATGATGGCTGTTGAATGCTTGTTCTGCCTCTGACATACTTCGCCATTAGACAGAAAGATATTGGTGTTCTTGAACGCTTCTTTTCTGGAGCCAAAGCTCTTTCTTTAGTATGAACCATCTCCATCTAACATAAGCTTTTGTCAAGTTAGATATCGGTATGACAACTATCGTTAAAGCACATATATAGACTATAAAAGAAGATGCAGCCAAAGCCCGCCTTTCCCAGCTCCTGGCTTCACATCAGTCTCATACGTGTGCTTTGCTTTAACCTCGAATCCTCTATGCCCTGAAAGAGAGGAGCGTAACACCTCCAGGTCTTGGTTTCTTTATCTGTAACATACAGTCTGAATTTCATATTGTGGTATTCATGCTACTACAGCTCTCTTTGAAAAAATCTTCCAAACCTCCTGGCATTACTGAGAACACTCATATGCTTTTAAATGATCAAGATCGAAATACTGAATTCAAAGAAATCGAAGGGCTGAGGTGGGAAGAGAATTCAGGCAGTAACCAGACCTGCGTGCGCGTTAACACCGGAGAGCTTTGGCTTGGCATCAACATTCACAAGTAATTGAGAGATTGTTGAAGGCAATATGCAATATCCTTGAGTTACATACTATGTCTAACTATTAAGGTGAATTTACTTTCTTCTGGAACACCTGCACTAATCACTGGTATTGGGTAAAAGACAGTGAAAAGCTTTTCTTTGGTTTTTCTGGAAGGAAACAAATTTACCGCCTATAATTAGACTTGGGCAAGAACCCTTTGGGGTGCTTTCTTAGAATTGTTCTTTATTAGAGCACAGGCTACTTTCACTTACAGGCTGAAAGGTACATATTTCAGTGCAATAACTACATTAAATTATTTTAATAATCTGTAGTAACTCATAACACAGTGTTGTGGTATAGTGACAGATATAAGGCTCTTTAGGGTCTGTGTGCACCTCATTTTTCAAATGGAGCTGTATTTCATTGTTATTAGCATGCCTTTTTATTAATGGTTGCTGCAGCAAATATATTAACAATCAAAATAGAAGCTGAACAACCTAATGCCAATGCAAGGCAGAAAACGGAGAGCCATTTGGTGATTCAATATGTCAAGACGAGTGTGACTTTTTGAACCACACAGCTGGGAGAACAAACCACCTTTTCGCATCGAAGCCCTGCTTGTTTCCGTTTGTCATTCAGTGCTAAAATTTATTATACGTCCCTTGCAATATTTGCTCTGCTAGTCTCATTATTAAAAATCAGGAAAACATATCTACACCATATTATATGGCACTTACCTCAGCCTTCAAAAAACATCTCCCCTGAAACCGCTAACCATCAAAAGAGGAATCAATCATGCCGTGTAGTTAGGTAAAATCAATTATATGAATATTTGCCATAGGTAGCAGGTAGCACTCTCCAGAGAGAAATATGATGGTCATGGGAGCTGTTTTAAAGAGTCCCAGATCATATTATAAGGATCACAGGTTTTCTAAGTGGAATTGAGATGTTTTATAAAAGATGATGACTAATAGATGCCAATGTGGCTTCATCTCAGGTAGTGGCTTTCAGATAAATAAAATTTTGTTCTACTCATTTTACAGTTTAGGAAAATACCTTGTCCACAGTTATCCCATTGATGTGCTAACGCCTGGTTTGGGATTTGGAGTTCAGTGCCCACAATGAGAGATATCACATAGGGGAAAGTTTCCAAATGATGAAGGTATTTAGCACTAGACTTATTTTTTAAGGAGAAAGAAGAGAAATTTTATGAGGTGGTCTTTTAGGGGAAAGGTATGGAAGATGTGGATGATAGAATGTCAGAGACCAGACAGTCTTTTGAAAGTAATGGAGGAATAAATTGTCTAGGCACAGAATTCATTCTGGCATAACCTGCAAACAATTACATTAACTAGTTGGCTGAAAGAAGAAAAACCCCTTAAAATCTGCTCTATTTCATAAATAATTTCCAAAGCAAAAATATTGCCCTTCTAAATACTAGTCATTTATTATTCAAACACGTGACTAAATAGCTAGATGTTTGTTTATTTATTTAAATAAAAAATTTAGCACATTGACTTTTCATTTACCTCCAGATGTTCTGGTATCATGTAGATATGGCCTTAAGATGTTTTCAGTTAAGTGTCTTAGATGAATCACGAAAATGCTATGTGTGAAATAGTAGCACATTTCAAGAGTTGGCTTCGTAACAAAACAAATTTTGATTTTGGGCCTCTTCTTAGAAAAACTGATTCTTTTTAAAGCCATCACAATATGAATCAAAATACAAATATAAATGGTGATATTTATACTTCCTGATGTGTTACTATTGAAGTTTTTCTAATTTTTGGATTGAGATAAGTCAAGCAATGTCTCAAGTGCATAGGCACAGTTTTTGTTTGGGGTGGCAGATTGTTACTTGGGAGGGCAAAACACTAGAAGTAGGCTTTCTGGAAAGTTATGGGTTGTTCAACTCTTTTAAAATACTTGCCTTTTTTATTTTTACGTTTACAAGTATGAGACCTAGTCACCTTTTTTGTTTTTTAAGGCTTACTCTGGAATTCTGGAGGTACATTCTTACAGGAATATTTTTGGGGTTACTAGTTCTGTCTAAGTTTCTCTGCCTGTGAGTGGTCATAATCTGTTGAGTGAATGAATTACAAAGGTTCCTAAAAATTGTTCTCACTCTAGTTCTCTGAAGCAAAAGAGGTAAAAGTTCTCCATTTCTCTGTAACTATGGAAGATGTTAGTAACTTTATGGTCTCCCTGTAAATGTGTTGCCCTTTGCCTTTCCTATTCATCTATAAGGTCATTGAGGGATCCAAAGGATAGTTCTTCACAACTCTAAGATGTGATTTTCCCTCCAAGCAATTAATTTTAAAACTCTTTGCAGAGCTTCATTGGAATTTCATGATTATTTCCAGGAGTAGCCACCTTAGGCCAAATTCAGCCCTCCCATAAGCAACACAAAATCATCATTGACAGTCACAGAAATTTACATAAATGTCCAGGAAGAAGTCTGGCCTTCTGTGAAGAATGGAAAGAAATTGTGTAGCATGAGTGTTTTAAGTTCTGAGTACTTTGACAAAGCATTCTGCTTGATCCGAAAGAGCTCTGAAGGAAGTACCAGTTAGAAACTCTTCTTTACCTGAGGCCCAAAGTCAAACTAGTTGAGCTTCCTCTAGTTCTAACCTTTTCTCTCTCAGCAACTCTACAGTCCTGAAGAAACAAACACTGCCAAGATTTAAAGTATTTTATGAATGAATCCCCAGCTTTGGGAGATATACTATCTTTAAGATCAGTGGTCAAAATTGCTTCCTTTGATTTGTGATCTAAAGGTTTTTTTTTTTTTCAATCTGGAGACATCTTAATGGATTTCCATAGACAGAATCTAGAAGTGATCATTTTGTAAATGAGAAGTACACTTAATTTGTAATCATTGGAAAATGGTTGTGAGCGCTTTGAAAAGGAAAAATCCTGATACGTTTTAAATACCAAGAGCCTGTACATAATACATCCAAAGATTTCTCGTGCTAGATATTTGCAAACTGTCTGTGACAAGGTCCAGCACTTTAATTGATTCACTGGTGAGCTAATCTAGGTGAAGTCTTAAAATTCCATGTAGCTGAAATTGACTATTAACCTTTCAAAAATTTGCGATGTCATATCGAAACTCCAAAAGGAATGCAGAAGAATATAGTTCTTAAACTGGAGAATTAAATTGCAGAATATCGCAGTAAATTAACTTTAGGGATACACTAAGAGTGAGAGTACTACGCCCTTGGGGGATTTTAGAAGCATTCAGTTATGCATTTGGCCTCATAAAACCCTAGGGCTGTGATGATTACATGATAGGAACACCCTCTGTTAAGCATTACCAAGTGCACAGTCTGGATGATTTTCTTAGGAATGGGGGGAGGTGGGAAAAAACAAGTGTGAAGTTTCCTGTTTCTGGTGTTCGCACAGAACCTGTTACGTTTTCAGTCGGATTTCCCAGAAACAAATGGGCCATGCTACTTCTTGAAGAATGTTGATAAGAATGCCAGGTTAGGGGATGGATATTTTTGAAAATCTGATCTTCAGTTAATTTTCTGATTGTGTACCAGCTAGGGAGCCACTTCCCATATTCAGAACTTTTAAGAAGTTTATTATGTAATTAGATAATGTTTGATGCTCCTTGTAAGTGAAAAAAAAAAAAACCCAAAGACAAAAAGTTCTATTCCTGGTTTTCACCCCTACCCTCCATAAAAATCCTGCCTAAAATGTACTGGGAAACCCTGGCCTGGTGGCAGAGTGGTCAAGTTCGCACGCTCTGCTTTGGCGGTCGGGTTCACCGGTTTGGATCCCAGGTGCGGACCTATGCACCACTTGTCAAGCCATGCTGTGGCAGGCGTCCCACATATAAAGCAGAGGAAGATGGGCATGGATGTTAACTCAGGGCCAATCTTCCTCAGCAGAAAAAGAGAGGAGGATTGGTGGCGGATGTTAGCTTCAGGCTAATCTTCCTCAAAAAAAAAAAAAAAAGTATCTGGAATAGGTACTCACTAAGAGTTCATCCATTCATTCGTTCAACCATTCAATGACTGAATGGTGCCTGCAACATACAAGGTATCAAACAAGGTGCAAGGAAGACAGGCTAGTCCCTGCCTTACAGAATTTACAATCTACTGAAAAAAATGTTGAATTTAGATACACAGTGACCCAAGGCCGAGTAGCTGAATGGAAGGTCAAAAGTGGTGAACAAAGATTTGTCTCTGCTTCTTCATAAACCCTTACATTGTGTTTTCGTAATAATGAGCATCTTTGGCTAATAAAAGATTTGGGCATTCCATCCTGATCTTCAGCTCAAATCCTTCTTTAAGTTCAAGTCCCAGAAAGAAGAGTGAAAAAATGGCAAAAGAGCCCTCTGGCTGTTTCCTCCTTTCTCCTAGGGACAAAATCTGAACCTGAAGGGACAGGCAGAGTTGTGACACGACACAATGGACAGAGCAAAGAGTAAAAGGACATCAGCCTGGGGCACTACATCCTAATCTATGTCAGGCCTCCTGTAAAACTTTAGACAAGTTCTTTGATTTTCTCTAGTCCTCTTCTACAAAACAGGGACAATGCTACCCAAGAGAACAAGCTTCTGACTGAATCAAATGCAAGAAAAGATGAGCAGAGACTTTGAAGACCCAGTAAGGAGTGGTGTGTGAGGGGAGAGCCTGGGGAGCTGCATGAAGGTGGGAGACTTACTTCGGAGCAGGACCCTGCCGAAGAGGCTGTGATCCCTGTCCAGGGTGTTGCAGTTCCAGCGGTGCTGGCGGAACTGGTGTTGGCACTCTGCTGTCCACTCGGCCACGCCCAGGCCAATGGCACGCATCACGTCTGGGTGTCGGTGGCACAGCTGCCGCTGGCGGCTCACCAGACCTGGCACATTGTCACACATCACCCTGGAGGCCCCGCCTGTAGCTCTCATGTACCTGGGAAGAGCCAGCACAGAGGTGAGGACAGCAGAAACAGCGGGGCCTGCTGCCGTGAATCCGGGGAGACCGAAGAGTTCAAAATACGTTTCAAAGATGAATTCCTTATTCTTTTTGGGATATTAGAAAGCAAAGGTTATTTAATTTTAGTCCAGTGGAGAAGTGGTATGACAGGCCTGGTGAGTGACCTAGTAGAAGCTACCCCTAAATGGTGTAATGATTGTCTCTTGGACATGAAGCCAGAGCCACCAGAGGATGCTCTGGCCAGGGTGGCAGAGGCAAGGTCTGCAGTCAGGGGATGGAACAAGGGGGAGGGGCAACATGTTTTGGGAAGAGTGACTCGAAGACTTTTCCCAAGAAGGCTCTGATCTCAGTGACACAATGTGTCTGGACTTGGCTTCGGCTTGACCTTTAGAAGCTTCTCGCTCCCATTTATTTGACCTAATGTTTAAGTGTCTTAAGAAACTGTCTGTATCTGTCTAATCAACACCTGTTGGTATCTGATGGTATCTCCTCACAGACAAGCTGTTCTTTCCTTACCAAAGAATCTTTTAAATATTTCCATTTTCCAGCTCTTTTTGGCTTTTATAGAGAACCTTTGGAAAAAATTCTATTGTTATTAAGGACACTAAATGTTTGGAAGAATCAAACAGTGTTATAGCTCCATAAAGTACTTTTGAAAAGAAACTTTAACAAAAAATTACATCATCATCTCTACCCAGATGTTCTCTATTAGTTGTGAAATGTTTAGAAAGGTACCTTTTATATAACCCAAGCTGCCATAGGTGTCTTTTGAAGCGATCAAACAAGGAGAATGTCTTTTTCTTGTATTTTCATTATTTTATATGATCATAAAATCGTTACAGCTGTGACTTCCAAAAAATATATTTAAATGACAGCTGAGAGACAATGTGACAAAAAGCCTGGGCAATAAATAATGTTTATACACCCATGGAAACAGAAATAGTCATTTTATTGAAAAATGGTCACTCTGATAAATCAATCTTTGATCCTGTGTCAGCAATGTCAAGGCTTAAACGCCTTCCTGTTCAAAGCGGCTTAGAAGGATTGAACCCCTCTTCCCATCAACGCTTTGCCTTGCTCTTTTGAAGAGCTCCAGTATCTTCCTAAAGTTCCCTGCTCTAGTCTTTCATTTGGCTGAGACTCCTTACTTTTGCTGGATTCTTTAAAAAGCCCACGATAACAGGTCTTTTTGAATCAGTATTTTAACACGTGTCGCAAATTTTTAGGTACAAGGTACAGAGCTCTCAACTCCATCTCTTTTCAAGATCAGGAGGTCGGGAGACGGAGAAGAGTTGCTGGGTGGAGAGGAATCTCTCTTTTGAACTTTTAACGATAAGACCTGTTACTATCAACGTTCCTTCACCAAGCAAAATGAACTGCAGATCGACGTCCAAAGGACATAGCAACGTTACTCTGGAGTGACTGGTTTTGAACAGGGTAACATCTTAGAGCCCCTGGGATCTGGAGCTTCGCATTAAGGCTGTAGTCGCTACCTGGAGGCAGCAAAATGTTCTTCCGCCCCACTGGGGTGAAGCATTAGGAATGTGGAAGGACGAGAAATAATGGAAAATCACACGCTTTGGGTTCTACTGCTCCTGGCTGCCTGAATTGGCCCGACAGTTATCTTGAGGCAGTTTTTTGGGGGGAGGGAACGGGGGAGGTGGAGGAGACGGTTGTAGTTTTCAAGGTGAATTCCCTCACACACACAAGCACACGCGCACACACACACAGACACGTCTGTGCTAGAGAGCTAGAGACCCGGCTAGCGCGTCTCTCAACGGGATAAGAAATTGGCTGATTTTGCTGTCGCTCAGCTGGATCCAAATAAACCAGACATCTGAGCTCTCATGTGAGGGGTAATGTGGGGTTTTTTTGGAGTTGTCAAAGCTGGAATAGACTCCCGAGGAAAAGCGAAGGGGCTCGGGATGGGGCGATGAGAGGGTAGTAGCCGGGGTTTGGGCCCGAATCCACGACTGCTGCGGCCGCGGGGAAGCGCCGCCGGGAACGCTCTATGTGGCCAGCGCGGTCCCCACACCCATCTCCAAAATTCCCCCGCGCCCGTGTGCGTGGACTTACCACCATGAAGAGCTGACCTCAGGGGTGAGCCAGGTCAAGAGCAGAGGGAGCCAGAGCCAGATTCCACCGAGAGGGGCGTTCATATTAACCCCCTTGCGTCCGCATCAGGTCAGACTCCGTGTGCGGGCGCCATGCGTGCCCGGAGCAGAAGCGCTCAGCGCCGGGAGCGCCTCGTCACGGCAGCCGGCGCCTCGCCGCGCCCCCGCCCCCCGCCCGCGTCTGCGGCGAGTGGCGAGACTCGCTGATAAAGTTTCAAACGACCAGCGGGGCGAGCGATAAAGGCCAGCCCGAGCCGCCTCGCCCACAGCCCAATTCCCCAGGCGCGGTGAGCGCGGGCAGCAGGAGAGCTCTGCGCACCTCCCGCGCGCCCCTGTCCGTTCAGCTCGCCGCCTGGGCGCAGCCGAGGGAGGGGGCGCTGCGCGGGGACGAGGTGGGGGGGGGGGGCGCGGGTTTTTATACGAGGGTGGATGAAATGATGGCAAGAGATGTCTGCGGGTGAGGTAAAGCAGGGAAGGAAGAACACCTCTGCGTGGCCTCGAGCACCCGTGGAGGCAGGCACCTTTCGGGAAGCTCCCAGCCAAAGAGCATCAGTAGGCTCTGCCCACAGGACCGCGCGTTTCAGATAGTCAAGGCGACCCTCTGTTAAACAGAAGACCCTGAGCGTGCAATGTGGGGAAATGAAGGAGAAGATGCAAGAATCTAGAGATGATTTTCAACTCATTGCTCCGCTTCTCTCCCTAACTCCGAGAGGAAGAGCGAGCATTTGTAAATTTGGGGCTGCCGAATCTGCGCAGGGAAGGGTTGGGGAGGGAGGAGCCAGGCCTCAGGGCAATGAAGACCTATGGCCTTGATTCCTTGGTGCTGGGCTTATACACAGAGCTCTCAGGGAGGGGAGCCAGGAGGGTCCAAGACCCTCCGGACCTCACCCTAGCCGTCCTCGGCCAAAGCGTCCGGGGAAGATGCGCTGTGGAGCGCCAAAGGTCACGTAGGAGGAACCGAGGCAGCGAGGAGCCCGCCGGGGGATCTGCGCCCCAGCACTGGTCTCGCCTCCCGCCGCCCGGGCGCTCAGCCTTTGCGCCTTGCGGAGGTAAACGGACCCTTGATGCTGGATCTGGGCCCCCGCAAAGCCGAGAGAGAGAGAGTCTCGGCCCGCGGGTGGAGTATCTTGAGCAGCAACTGGCTTGTAGCCCCGCCGTTTATCACCGGAAAGGAAGGAAGACCAGGAACTCGCGGCGGCCGTGAACTGTTCCATTGCTCTTTTCCTGGGGCGGAGGGACCCGCAGCCCGCCCCGGGAGCGTGCCTTGGGGAACCGGGATTGTGTGTGTGTGTGTGTGTGTGTGTGTGTGTGTGTCGGAGCGGGGCTGCGGGTGGGGGTGGGGGTGGGCGCCGCACTGTTCGAAGTGAGTGGAGGGGTGGTGGTCCAGATAGGAAGGACCCGCTCTCCCCACACCCACTCCTACGGCCTGGACTGGCTGAGCATCAACCCTCGCCGGGTGCGAGCGCGGTGAGAGGCTGGACGGGGCGAAGCTTAGAAACGCCAAAAACCTGAAAGATGCTGTCATCGCCAGCCCCTTTCCCTTCACCCCCACCCCCACCCCGCCGGTCCCTGGCAGGTCCGGCCCCTCCCAGGCTGACCCAGATACATCCCCGTTTGGGTCCGGAAAGGGAGGGGAGGGAAACAAGCACCGCGCCACCCACGACTCGGGAAGAGCAGGGCTCTGCGCCAGGGCCGCTCGTATCGCTGGGCCGCGACCCAGGGGAAGTTCTGGTCAGTCTGTGCCGGTCGTGAGGGAGGGCGCGGGGTGTGTGGGGGGTGCGTTTCTGCTCGCAGTGTGTGCACACGCTGGTGGCGCGGGAGGCGGGGGTGGGGGGGGGAGGTAGGGAGGGGGGTGATGTGATAGGCACCAAACAGCAACAAATATCTCATTTACCTCTATGCTTATGCTTCTAAACCTCTTCCCCGGATGAAGCAGAATAAACTAAAATTTACTTCCGCCCTCCTTTGTGCACAGTTTCTTACAGTAAATCCAGACACTTGGGACATGTAGAAGAGGTTAGTGGCCCCAGAGGAACCATAAGTTGCCAAAATTTCACTTCTACTAGTGAATAATGTAGGGGTATAGATGTGTGTGTTGGGAAAGGTAGGCAGTTGTGTGTTTTTCTCTCATGGACAATGAGACCTGAAACTACCTAAAAAACTCCTCAACTCAAAGTTCCACCCACCTCAGCACATCATGTCCTCACAGCTAAGGGGAGTTACAAATATGGAGCACGACCGTCAGCTTAGAGGCCCTTCCTCTCCACCCAGGGGATTACTGAGTGGCCAGGAGATCTGCCCTTCAGTTGCTGGTGAGGCCAATGGAATGACCTAAACCTGAAACAGACCTCCTGGAAAAAGAACAGACCATCCCCAAAACTAATTAAATCCACTCCAAAGGACTTCATCCTGGGGCAGGAAGAGAAGTACCACATGACTTGCAGAGTCTTGGTGAAAGGCAAAAGGCTGAAAAAGTTCAAGAGAAGCTAAATCCAGATGTGAAAAAAGACCCACCCAAACACCCCTTCCTGACCTGTCTAGAGTCTGGACCAGATGACTTGTCTCTTCCAGATCTGTGATTCCATTTCCCTCACATTCTCCACCCTTGTTCACTTATGACCCATTATTAGCCTGTGCAACTTCTCTTCCTGCCCAACAGGTCTGACTTTCCTCCCTCCTCATCTGTACCTGTTCTCTTGATGGGCCCTTCACTTTGAAGTTCACTACTAGAAGAAGTTGGGAAATGCTCAAGAAAATTAGGAGGGAAGAAAGTTATTGCAAATGTCACTTCTCTTGCAATAAAAACTACCATTCTAAAGAAGGGTTAATAAATAATGAAGTAAATTGCATATGACTTCAGCCTTGCTATATAGCAGATGATGAGGTAAGGAAAAGGCTTCAGAGTGCCTTTAGATCTATGAATTTAATGTCTGATTTTTGGTTTATTCAATGAGAAATCTCAGAATTGACTGTAAAACTCATTTACAGTATACAGAACCCAATTCTCTTTCTGGAGATTACTGTTAGTTTGCTTGTAACTTTAGTATAGCATTGTAGCCAAATGAGTCAGTCTATTTTCTTAGTTAGATCCATTGTTTGTCTAATCTCCCAGGGCAGAGAGAGAACTAATTTACTACCAAACCATCTCCACCCTTTAAAAATGGAGAGTTACTTCTTCGACCAAATAGTCATTTGTCTTTCAGTCTGAACTGGCTTCTTCCTAAGGCAATGACTCTTAGTTTAGCTACTCACTAACCAATGATTCAAAGGTCCAGCATCTCCAGTTTAGATTCAGTGACCTTAAGAGAGAACACTATGTATTAACAGGACAGATCAAGGATGGGAAAGAAAAAAAAGATATTTTTTTCTTTCTAAATCTCTGAGTATCATATACATAACAACATAGATTACATATCAAACAACATAGAATATACATCATTCAAACTTTTTTTACATGCTAAGTGTATCTAACTAAAGAGTATCATATACATAACAACATAGGTTAACTTTGAAATTTGAAGTTTGCTTAAAAGCTTTTCATTGCCCCCTTTCCATTTTAGTCACTCCTAAAATTTTTATGAAGCACACACACTAATTCTTTGTCAGAAACTGCTTTTAGGAAAATTTCTAATATCAGTGCTTTAAATCTCAGTGTGCAATTAAATTCATGTGCACCAAAGACTTGCTTCCAGCCATGAGAGAGTAATAGGTACTTATCTTGTTCTCCTAGTGAAAAAACAACTCTAAGACTGGACAAAACTACATGAGGCAAATCTTTTCAGGCACTGGATAATAGGCAGCACATAGCTGTGATCTTTGAGAGACAAGAGACATATGAGGTGTGCTCTAAAACTATCCCATACTCGTCCCGGTTTTGCTGCTGAAGGGCACTTTTTTCTGTGGTGCAAGAAAGTGGAACCCAAGCAAAGCAGTAGTCTCAATTAATTAAGGAGGGGCAGACTGGAGTTTTGGGCTGTTGAGGCAGCTGAAATTGGCAGGGTAGCATACCTAAAAATAGGTAGCTGTGAAAAAGGGGACCCCAAAAGTCTACATGGAGATTCACTTAGGGTCCTTGGCCAAGAGCTGGACTTAATATAGACAAGACAAGGCCTAGCAGAGATTGCCATCCTCATGTCATGCAGTGTTGAGAGACACTGGAGTTCCAGCTCAGTGGGGTGGAGAGACCTCATTAAGCATTTCAGGCATTCACTTGAGATGCTAGAAAGGCCACCCCTTTAAAGTAAGGGTCATGCTTTAGTGCAAAAGCATGTTGTAGGACAAAATTCAAAATTTTGTTTCCCCTATCACATGCTCTAACAAAGAATAAAAACAAACCAGACAGGCCAAGGGGAATTTATAAGAATAAAATCAACACTCATTAAAGAAAGATAACATTGTATCATTTAGAGTATCAAGCATACAATAAAAAATAGGCAAGTGAAAAACCAGAAAAATGTGACCCATACTAGAGAGAAAGTAGTCAAAGAAATTGACTCTGTGATGACTCAGATGTAGAAACTGGCAGGAAAGAAATTTTAAAGTAGCTCTTATAATTACGTTCAAGTATTTAACAGAAAATATGGTCACAATGAACAAATAGATGGAGAATCTCAGTAGAGAAATCGAAGTTGTAAGGTATAAATGAAGGGCCAGCCCTGGTGGCCTAGTGGTTAAGTTTTGCATGCTCTACTTCGGCAGCCTGGGTTTGGTTCCCAGGTGTGGACCTACACCACTTGTCAGCGGCCATGCTGTGGCAGCAGCCCATATATAAAAAGAGGAAGATTGGCAACAGATGTTAGCTCAGTGTGAATCTTCCTCAGAAAAAAGAAAAAGAAATAATTGAAAATCTAGAACCAAAAGGTACAAAGTCTGAAATGAAAAATTTACTGAATGGGCATAACAATGGAATGGATTTGTCAGGAGAAAGGGACAATGAATTTAAAGATAGAGGACATCTAATCTGAAGAACAGAGAGAAAGAATATTGAAAATTAAATAAATTTTACCTCAGCTATCTGTGGAACAACACCAAACAGTCTAATATATGTGCAAGTGGAGTTCTAGAAGGAAAGGAGAGAGAAATTGGGACCCAAAAATATTTGAATAAATACTGCACCAAATTTGTCAAATAAGATAGAACACATTAATTTACAGACCCAAGAAGGTCAGAAAACCCCAAGCAGAATGAATACAAAGCATATCACACCTGTATACATCATGACCAAACTGTTTAAAACCAAAGATGAGGAGAAAAATCTTTAAAGTAGCCAGAGGGAAAAGATACATTAAAAACAGGGTAACAAGAATATGAATTACAACTGACTTTTCAGTAGCAATAATGGAAGTC